TTAGTGCACTTAAGGAACGTGATATTTGTTGTTTTTATTAGTTCTCCTCTTATTGGTTTGCATATGTAGTAAATTGATTGAAATTTTAGTTGTAGAAAAAATAACGATAAATTCTGGTCACAAATTTTAAGAAAAAAATATCAGTGACCAAATACTCAAGTTAGGTACTTCAATGACTGAATATAATTTTCGTCCACAGTCTCATTCGCTCATACAAGTAACGTATTAATTTCTTTTAACTCTGTTTTCGTCTAATAAAGAACGATTTTTTAATAATTGCTACGAGAAAAACTGGCTAGAATTTTTAACACTGTTCTTTACACTATTATTGAAGTTGGTAGACGATACCAAAGTGTTTATCATGAGAAAATCTGTAAACATGAAACTTGTTATTTAAAATGATTAGAAAGCTGTTCAATTCGTTAATAAGCGATACATTACTATCAATTTATCAAATTTTATGAATTAGAATTTTAAATTCTTGCTTGTTAGCCTTAGCCCTTTAAGGGACACCAAACTCTCGCTAGTAAGAAAGTGGAGGAAATTGAAACTGTGGGATCTTATCGGTGCAAACACGACAAGTTCATAAAAAATAGACTTCAATATTCAAATAAACAAGAAGACGAAATGGCATCAATATCTGTCAAATTATTAGTGAGAAAGCTGGATAAGAAGAATCTCTCAAAACTTGTTTGATTGCCTGAGCAAAACTTGAGTTTCCAATGATCAACTTTCAGCTCCTCCATTCCTAGTCGTAATGAAATTAATTTTGATGCGTTCCGCCTTCCACAGTAGCTTTTCGTTTTATTTTGATTGCGTTTTTGTTCTTTTCTCACTTCAATATGAATTTTCGACTCTAATTTAAATATATTTTAGCAAGTATTTGTGACAAGGATTCTAAAAATTCATGGTAAAGATGGTCATGGTGGAATACGAAGTACTTTAGCATCTTTTCAATATCAAATTTAGGTTTTCTGACTAATATTATGTAGTAAAAACATAACATGAAATTTAGAACTTTTTAATCTCAAATATCATTACATGTCTTATATTTATTATTGTTTTCTAATTATTAGAAAGTAGTATTCCATTTATGGGGGGATAAAGTATTGTCAAACAATTTATTGAAGCCAGGGATGCTTAATTAACTGTGGTTATAGGAGATGAAAGTAATAAGAGTAGAGTAGAGTGCCTAGAGTAAAAGAGTGTGGACAAGGGAGAAACGATTCCTGATTGGTGGAAAGAAAAACTTTACCGCCGGAGGCGAGAGTGGAAAATTCGCCATTGAAATTACACGGAGTGAAAATTATCTGACTCAAAAAAATTATGTTCTGTATTAATAAATGCATGTAATAAGTTCATTACTTACTTTTTTTCAATAAGAAACTTCACAGTTACAGTAAATGTTAAAATTATGGCTGAAAATTTGGATAGTTGTTAGTTATTAGAATTTATCCTTATTATCACTTACTTGCGTGCATATAAAGTTATGTTTATCTCATTGTAAAGAAAACAAGGTGATGAAATAACTAATGGTTAGATAAGAATAAATGTATTTACTTTTAATGCACATAATTTCTATCTAAGTTACTTATAAATTTTAAGATTTGAGCATCTTTTTATTAAAACTTCAGAAGTGCAGAGTTTGGCGATATTACTTTGACATGTTGGCGCGTTACAATATTCGCGTTACAATGTTACAATGCGCGCTACAAAGTAGCATTTGTTTAATTTTCGTTACCAACTGTATAAAATGCTAGTTTGTTTTAAATTTCAACTAATTATGGAAATTTTTGTTTACAATTTGTTGAAATAAACAATACCTTTTCAGGTGAATATGCGATAATTTTTTCCTGAAAAAGTAATAAATAATAATAAATTATATAATTTGTATTATTAATTATTATTTCTGAAATAAATGGCATAATCATTATTAATTTTTATATTTTATTTAAAGCATTTATTAAAAGCTGAAGTCTTTTCATAAGTTTTTTTTTTTTCATTGACGTTAATTTTTTAACAATTTCAGATGCTAGACAATGTTTCTTAAAAAATCTGTAATATCATGTGCTTTCCAATCTTAAAGTTTATATTATTGATACTTTAGTATATACTCTTAGAATAACAGAACCTTCAGAATAACACCAAATGAGCGAGTGGCGCCAATTTCGGTGTATCATCTGGCAACCCCCTTGGACAAAAATCTGACGGCAGCGCATGATCTCTTTGGATATTGTCATCACTCTTTTCAATACAGGCACTCTAGAGTAGAGTATCTAATTTACTGGGATGTTAGTACAGGAGTACTGTGGTAATAGGTGTATTACGACTTCGTGAAACTGCATACTACCAAATTGAAATTAAGTTATTCCCTTTTCGTTCACATTTTCATTATTTTTTTCAATTTTTATTTAAGTGTCAAAACAGTTTGCTCCTATTTGTACCACATTTTCAACATTATTCATAATTTCTATATAGCATTATCTATATTTTCTAGTTGTAACATTATTTATACGTTTATATTACATTTATAATACAACTATTTTATAATACATTAATTCAGTACAAGATTACCATAAAGCTTTATCTTAAATGCTTGGTGTCTGTTTTAAAAAAAATTAGATGCATTCTAAAGAAGTTGACAATAAGAAAAATTCAAAAATAAACATATTTAATTTGAGCTTAATAAAACATACTGAGTACATACTGAATTTGAGAGAAAAATTAAGTATTCAATACATAGTTAGAAAATAATATTAAAATAAAAAGCTTAATTACCTGGGATATATTTATTATTGCCTTCACATTGATATTGTATGATCTAAGAAAGAAAATAGCATATTAATATTTTAAAACTCTTTTTCCTATTAAAAATTAGTATAAAAAAAGACTTTGGTGACCACCTTGGTCACTTTCGAATTAACATCTTTACAGCTCTTCACTGAATTTTATGTTAGTATGATGACATGAAATTCAAAAACCTATATTATTAAAGACTTAGCTCGATTATAATTAGATTAAGGGATAGAACGCTTGCCACCTAATGAGGTGAACCCAGGTTCGAATTCCAGTGATGGCTGGACAATATGAACTCCTCAAATGGCTTGCACAGTGCTAAATGATTACAGTGATAACGTAAAATAGCATAAATGGCAGATGGATCATGGGTGTGAGTCCCCTTGCTGTGAGGCTAATTGTGGGAGACTTTGGTGGTTTTCCTTTAAATGTAACGCAAGTTTGGGTTAGTTCTTATATAAAAGTCTTCCATGAAGGCAAACTTCACTGAATACTTGATCTGAGAGTTCTCTTGTCTTGTGGATTGAGTTCAAAACTACAAGACTACGGAGTTGAACATTAGTAATCGTCAACTCGAAATCGGGTCGGCTGTTCAACGACGGTTAATAAAAAAAAATAATAATTAGATTTTCAACTTTAAACTATAATATTAACCAAAATTACAAGAGTAGAGAAACATTTAAGAGCGCTAGTTGGAAACAAAAACCCCTTTCCAAAGCACTCAAGAAGAAGCCTAAAATCTTAAAGACTCTGGATTACATCCAGAAAAATAAATTTTAAATATTGCCTCTTAAGCAAGAAATCAATAATTAATTAGCTGACAGAACTTGGACTTATACAAAAGATAATAACAGTAAATTTTATAGGATGGCAAAGGTTTTTAAAAATCGAACTTAAATAAATATATATCAACTTCTGTGTGTGATAAAAATTAAGATAAAAATGTATGTAAATCCAATTATCCTTTGTATTGCAATGGACTGATGGTAAAGACACGGTTTTCAGTAGAACATTGAGATCAAGTTGGCTGTGGTCATTACGCGGGTGGGTGACCACTTTGATCAGCCTGCGTAGGGAACGCGGTTGCACGATATTGGCACCCGTTAAACTGTTTAACCGTAAAGTGCTCGACTTCGCACGCAGGTCGTCGGGCTACCAAAGCGGATGAGCCATTCCCTCTTGCATAGGATAAAAATTGTGATGTTTTGTCTTTAGATGGTATCCCCAGAAATGTTTCCCAAGACATTGCGAATTGCCCATTGTGCAGCTCTTGTCCTATGTAAATAAAACACCTAATTTCGAGCATTTTTTTAGTGAGGGCCAAACAAAACTACGATGAAAAAATATAAAAAGTGTGAAAGATATACAAAATTCGTCTAAAATTTTAAAGTTTGCGTTTTTAAAGAATTCTATTCTAAGATAGAAGTGCGGTATTGGTCCTCGTTAAACTGTGCTACCGTAAAGTGCTCGACTTCACGCGCAGGTCGTCAGGGTACCGAAGCGGGGGTGCCATCCCCTCCGCAGAGGATCAAAATTGTGATGGCATGTCTCCGGATCATCCTCCGGGATGTTTCCCAGACCGTCGCCAATAGCCCATTGTGCAGCTCTAGTGCGACGTAAATTAATAACAACAACAACAACAACATCTAAGATAGAAAGGTGCCTAAAAATTATATTTTTCTAAATTCTTAGAGTATCTTATCATATAAGCAGTTTTTACTTGCATATACACTTTTATTTAAGCGAAATTAAGAGTTTTTTTTTGTTTCGAAGACATAAAGCAAACTCACTCGTCAATTTCCTCTTCCGACAAGTCACCAAACTCTTTGTCTTTTGCTATAGCGGCATTATTAACAAGCAAATCAATAGGTTCAAGATCTGAAATAGTGGTCTTAGTTTTTTCCCAATTACTAATATCCAAAAGAACAGTCTTTATCTTATTATTCTGAAATTTAATGATAAAAAATAATACATTAAAGCAGAAAATATAGGTGATTCGAATTAATTATTTAAATATAAGTTAGTATACTACTGATTTCATTCAACTTTGAATTTAGTAAACTGCCATCTGCCCAGAGTCATCAAATAAACATCGATCGTTCAAAACTAACTCTACATTTTTTTCCATTTTTTACTCTTTCTTATTCCACACATATTATTATATAGATGTTCTTCAAAGCACTTTAGCAAACCAGAAAATAAAAAGCTACTGTTTGAGTTTCTTAAACTTTAATGCAAAATTTTTACAAATACATTTATGAGAACATTTTCCTGGATTTCAATTTCTCCCTTCTCCCCGCCAAACCCAAAATTTTACCACTTACTAAGAGGAGCGTGGGTGCTCAATTGTTGTTGCCGAGTAAAAAGATTTTTCGGAATTGAATAATTTTTGGGAATTGAAGAATTTTTAGTAGTATTTATCGTACTACACTGTAAAATTATTATTTCATAGTAATTTCTTTATTTTCCCTTTTTTGTCACACCATTTTTTCCTTTTGTCACGAATTTTTACTCGAGCAAAACAGTGGAACATTCACTATAAATTTAAGCAATGGTGCACATAAATAGTAACTTCCGTCAAATTTCGTTCATTTTCATTATAATTTTTATCAGGATTTTTTTTAAATACAAATTTTTCGCTGTGCTATTTCATTATTTTACTAAATACGCCTGAAGGTAACAAGCCCGTTTGAGGTAAGAATATAAAAAATATTTTAATATCAAGATCCTGCTTACACATTTTTCCAGTTCTTCTAAATCTGAATGAGTTCTGCTGACTGCGATCACCTCCGCACCACATTCCGCCAATCTAATAGCAACAGCCTTTCCAATACCTGAAAGATAATTAAGAATCTAATTAATGATTATAAACTTAATAATACATATTTAAAGTGCCATTTTATTTCTCGCACTTCAAAAGAAATCACAAAAAATTCATATAAAAACCTACTTCTTAATTACTTATTAAAAGTATAATATTTAAATTGATCAAAAAAATGCGAACCACCGCATTAAACAAAATAACTTATGCATGCATTATGGATAATCTATTAACTCGTTTTAAAGCCTTAGTGTTAATTTCCTCTCATATTCCAAAGTTCAATTCTCAGATTTTCATTAATAAAATTATTTATAATAAAGTTTTCAATAAATGAAACTAAATAATTATAATGAACTTCAAGTTTAATACACTATTAGAAATTTCTTTGACAAAATGGCTAAATGGTAATTATTTACTATATTCAAACAAAACAATCAAATAACAATAAATAAGATGGTATTCAAACTGTTAAATTTTTTTCTTTCTTTCCTCCAAGCCCTGCGCATGTACCTAGGTTATACAAAACCCTTAACCGTATAGCCTAGGACTTGGCCACTAGTCCAGCTCCGTTAAAACCAAGGAACGGGTTCAGTCAGCGGTATTAATTTTAAAATTTTGATATGTACAAGACAATATTTTCAGTATATAAATAGTTACAGTGTATAAATATAGTGATATAGAATTTGTTACATAATAATCTCATTGATACTATGCTAGGTTGTATAATATACACATCAGAGGAAGAAAATAACATAATGATGTTCATTATTTTACAAAGAAATCTTTAAGAATAGTTGTTTACCATGAAAAATTTTCTACTTGACTTATTAAAAAAAAAACTTTCTTTTTAACTGAAAGCGTGGAAATTAAACAGAAGAAAAAATACAAAGAGAAAAAAAATTATGCAATATAAATTTGAGAAATAGGAAGGTATTAAAATTTTAATAAATAGTCATTATCCGCTAAAAAGTTCATTACTGTTATTAATCTTTTGGTTAAAGTATTGTATAGAATAAAATTTTTCTGCCAAATTTCTAAATTTGTTGGGCAAGGCTGACAAGTATGCCAGGAGACAGTACAGCGCAGCTAGACAGTATAGACAGTATAGAACAGCTAGTGAGTTTGTTGTCAAACCGGTAACTGTGAAAAAGCAGTTTATTAACTGCTTTCACGTAATACGGTTAAACAACCAGAATTTTATTGTTCTAACTAGGCCCGTCTAATGAAGCCACTTAGTTCTTTGCAGCTGGGTACATATTATAGCTGAGGGGGATAAGTTGCTAATCGCACGACCGACAGAATGTAAATTCGAGTTCCAGAGTTGACACAACAATATTTCCTCTTGATAAATCACTACCAAACTCCAATGCCCATTACCCAACGTAAAGTCTAGCTCCAATGTTCTGTTAAATTTCTGTTTTACAGTTTCAAAACCGTAAAAGTGAAAAATCATCTTTTCCATAAACTTTATGGCTAAATGGATGGACAAACTGCTACCACTTATTTTACCATAATTTTTGAATCAAAATTCTGACAGTATAAGTGTCATGTATCATGTCTAACAGAATTTCTGTTCATTTTTCATATTTTTAAAATAATAATAATAATAGTAATGAAAATATATATTTTAGTGTTCCTCAGATCATCTTTTTGTAATTTTGCGCATTTGAGGACTAGTTATACTACATCTATTATTCATCCTTTCAATCAGTTGACTATTTTGTTTTTATAAAAAAAGTGCAAATATATATCATTTCCGGATTCAGATGGTTTGAATATCCTAAAAATATTCATAAAAGTAAGAATTGTGTCACGGGAAGAAATGTTACGTAATGCGCTTCACTTTGATCTAACCATGAAGAAACTTTCATTAATCATTCATGTTGATTCATCATTCATATTATTGTTCATAAGTAAAGGAATAATTACTTATAAAAATTAAACTAAAATTTTTAAATATTCTATTTGTTCAAAATGTTTTACATAATTTGGAAGGAAGATCATATAAATGCAGCTTTGAGACAAGAAATAAACAATTCTTTTTTATTAATTTTTGAGTCAATAAAAGTAAATTTCTAATAGCTAATATTATATTGTAAGATGTTTTCCTCCAAACTTCAGAAATGACAAAAAAAAAATTAAAAATCATATGGAATCTCAGTTACTTTACTTCTTCCAGATCCTGTAACTTATGACCTTTTCTCATCAATCAAGTCATACAAGAAATTACTAACCCTTTTTAAATAAATATGATATTTACTAATAGCTAACAAAAGTAATACTCAATTGGCAATTATATTATGGAACATTTTTTTCCAAAATTCAGTGATGATAAAAAAAAATTGAAAAAATAATCATATAGAATTTAAATAAATATGATATTTACTAATAGCTAACAAAAGTAATACTCAATTGGCAATTATATTATGGAACATTTTTATCCAAAATTCAGTGATGATAAAAAAAATTTAAAAAATAATCATATAGAATTTTTGTTTATTTACCTTTCCCAGCTCCAGTTACTAACGCCCGTTTCCCATCAAAGCGAATATCCATTTTTTATAGTTTTTTCCCAAGACTATAAATTATTTGAATAAATTTCTTAACAAGATAATTATAAGAGTAGAACTAAATGTCTTTATCTGCTTTCGCAAATAACTAAAAGTAAAAAAAGTAAGAAGGATCTTAAATATCATCAGAACCTCTTATCAAGCATTGACAGTCTTGAGAAAATGATAAGAGAAAAAATTTAAAGAAAAAAATGCACAACAATGAGTCTGTTTGAATGTTAACTTATCTCAAAAAAGATAGTTATAACAATGCAATCAAACTTTAAATTTAAGATATAGTTGTTTACAAAAGGACACTAGCAGACAATAGGATCGACTAATTAGCCTTATTACATGAACGTACCGCTTCCCGGTTTCACAGTAACCTACAACAACTCATCACTAAATAGCATGAGATCCAGAATCTGTTGGACTGCACTAAACATACAGGGTAATTGAGGGGAATGTGTTGTTCAGGATTAACTGTCATTTGGTTTAATTACTACAATAATAACCAAACAACGAAAGAATTTTTTTTATAGTTTATCCTTATAATTAGATAGATAACATATAGTTCAAATTAGAGACTTCTCTTTCGATTGGAATATGTTTTTTCGCATTACGGTCAGTTACAGTTATTGTCACTAATTACGCCGAAAATTTCAAATTGAAACTGTTTCTTTTTTCTTCCCTTTTAATTTGATAAAGAAAACATTGTCCAAAAATGGAGACTTCTATTTTGATAGCAACATGTTTATTCTCTTGACTGTTAGTTTCTACATCAAATTGCTCCAATAATTAAATATCTGAAAAAATAAAGTTTTTTCTTTCCTCTTCTAAGGAATAGATAGTCAATTTGAGACTTCTTGTTTAACGTGTTATTAAATATTACCAACAAGTAAGCTAGCTACCCCTAATTATCTCCGATAGTTACAAATTATCTTAGTAAACAATTTCTAGCTTCCTCCTTTTATTTCAAATAAATAAAACATGGTCTGATTTTGAGACTTCCATCTTGGTGAAAACGCCTTGACACTACAGACTGACCAACACGGTACTTTTTTAGTTTAGCAGCAAATAGTTCTTGAACTAATTATTATATCTTTTAACTTACCTTGCATCAGAAAGGTTCTTGGTTCGAATCCCGGGCAAAGCATCGATGTTCTTTCATTTCTGTACTATCTGTCCTTACAGTGGGAGCAACGTAGGCCCATCTAACATAAATCCCCTGAAAGAGAGGCCAACAAATATACTGCGGTAATGCCTGAATTGATTAAATATTAACCCAGGTGGGCAATGGAAATAAATAAAAAATATTTGTTAATATTGTCATTTGTATATAATAATTTGTTATAATGTGAATAGTATTTATTTGTTAAAAATACCGTACATAAAATACTTGAAATTCTCCATAAGAGTATATGACATATTTTGCGAGTACATTCCATTTTGTCCATTTTATGTTATTCAGTTATATGCTGTATGGGAAAAGCTATTTTAATTAAAACAAATAATACAAAAATTGAAATATTTCAAAGAAAAAGCAACAAAACGTTAAAACATCAATAAGCAAAACAACTATCAAAAATGTGATGATGGTGCCAGAATTATTTTTTTAAACTAAATTTTAATCAAAATCTTTGTTCTTATTTTATATTGTTTTATTTAATATATTATAAAAACTATTGTGATGAAATTTTAAATATAAATAGGTATCTGATGAAAAGAACGTACTATCAGTTCCGATACAGAATTTTCCGGCTCATTTTCGTTATTTTCATCTTGCACAAAAAATGCTCTAAGCTTTTTAGCAACTAACAAAAAAAAAATTAGTACTCTTAAATAAATAAGAGTACGGGCAACATAAGTTTTATAATAGACTTAAGATCGAACATTTCAACGAAAATAGGGATTTTAGAATTGTCAGATAACTTAATAAGATCTAATTTCTATACATATATATATATCGCTTTTGCAGATTCGAATTCTTTAAAAGGATAATCAAGTTACTTTAACGAAAACATAAAAGAAATATTTGACATTCTGGCCCATAATGTTAAAGAAATAATAGCATATTGCAAATTTTTCATATAATGTTAATGTTCAGGGCATTTTTCTAACATTTCCTTATTGGATAAATTTTTACATTTCAATAGATTTTTCAAAAACTCTCTTCTTTTGTGCAGAAATAGTAATGCAGAAATAACAATACGATAAATTTTTTTGCAATCGTATAAGACGATTAAAACCATGCTGCATTTAATAATGTATTCATATTTTCAAATACAGTGACATTTTTGCTACATTTTAGTCTATTTAGAAGTACAGAACAAAGAATTTCGTATTTTAAAACTCTTCTCAAAAATTTTTAAACTGTTGCATTGTGAGCGAAACTGAGCTTAGAAACACACTGAATTAAGAAAACTCTTTTTTAAACACCATTAGAGAGTAAATTTTTTAAGCAAAATTCTGTTAATCCATTAATTCTTATTTATATTGCAAACATCGTACCATTATTTTAAATAAACAATAGTAGAGAAAGCATTCAAAAAATTATAAAAGAAATGAAATGAAAATTATTAATAATCTACTTAAGGACTTAAAAAAAAAGTTTAAAATGTTTAGTGAAACGTAATAAATTGTTTAGCTCCTTTTGCAATAGCCACAGTTGTAGTTTAAAGCTGCAATTGCACAGCAGCAATTGTTGAGACAATGCCCCAGTTAAAAATCTTTATCATTTTACTGTAAAAAAGGGTTTTTTACAATTGAGCCAAAATGTTTCAAAATAGCTCCGAAAAAAATAATAGTCGAATTTGAAAATCCCATGAATTCAAAATTGAAATAGTTGATTGGAAATATAATGAAAATAATTCATGAAATAGTTGAAATAGACTTTCTTTTAAATTAGTCCTATTCTTTGACTTCATGAATAAGTTATAAATTAAAGCAATGCATTTAAACTAGTTACTTACCTTAATCTTTAAAAAAATGTTTATCCTCAAATATTCAAATATGTAAGTTATATCTATTTTATAAATACTAAACTAGTTTTAAAAAGAGTATTAAAATAATAACTGCTCTATCAGTTTTTCTGATTCGGGTTTAATTTTATAGAGTGTGGGGATTTTTATAAATATATCTAGATCACATTTTAAAACTCTCTTTTGAAATTATTTGCATAATTAACTACTTAAATTTCAAAATCCATTATTTTTATTAATAGTCAAATAATATGTCTCCCTTTAAATAGTAATTAATAATTAAATTAGTTATTATATTAACTATATTACTTTGAATTATATTTATTCAAGTATCTTTAGATGTAACTTGTCTACAGTGAATGTATAGAGAGTTGAAAGATTGTGTTCTATCACCATTTACATATTTGTATGAATGTAATCATTCTATTATGTTGATTGAATAAATTATAACAATATACAAAACAAAGTTCTTAGTTTTTACAGTTAATTTTGAACTGAAGCAAATAAATATAATTATGAGAATTCTGTTTTTAATATAATAATGAGACTTTATGAAAACCCATAATTTTTAATTAGTATTAAATAATTTAAAAATCTCAAATAACTGCTCCTTTTGTGTCTATCTTTTTTATTGTTTCATTTTTATAAATTTACAGTTTGTATGCTTAATTTTACCTTGATTTTTTTAAAGAGGTTTCTGTATTCTAACTATGCATTTTTTCAAAATAAGTAGAAAAGCTTTTTATGATGATGGCATATCCTAACTTATTAATTGGCAAATGTTAAGTAAATTTATAAAAAAGAAAACTAATTGCAATACTTAAAGTTTTTTTGAAGATTTAAAAGTAAACTTTTTACAGTATAATACTTAAAGCAGTATATGAAGAATGTTACAATCACAACGTTGTGATATGACAACGAATAAGAACAACGTTAAAAGCAAAAAGATTAAAAATTTGGCCTCAGTAACTGAGAAAATGCCCTTTTCGACAAGGAATTACGTTTAAAAACAAACACCATATAGTATCTTGTCTAAAACTTCATTTATGCGATAAAAATTGAACTTTTAGAAAAATCGGTACATCATTGAACTACAAAATTGGTGCTTTAAATTATTGCATCATTGAAAATTGTTGCAACTTTAAAAAAGTGATAAGTTGAAATTCGTTTTTTTCACGTAAAGTCATAGATATGTTTAATCGAAGATCAATTAACTCCGTGATTAAAATTCAAAGTGGAAAGTCAATGAAATCGAGAAAAATGTAAACTTTACTAGCCACCTTTGCTGACCAGCTTGGTCACCTTTCAAAATTATTTTGTATAACTTATAAACTTTAATAGTAACAAAGCCAATTGCATATCACTACTGTATTTAAACATTCTGATTCTTTAACCCCTGTTCCAATCCTAACACCTTGATTAGTCTTAAACAATATATTAATAAAAAATTTTCATCGCCTAGCTGTTGCCCGCCCAAAAATACTTTGATTTCAGTTTTAACTATTTTCAAGAAATGTCTACGATATTGTCAAAATTCTTTAAGTATTTAATTTAGTAATAATTTAAAATCATTCCGGAGACCATTAAATAACACAAGCCACCGTAAATATGAGTTCGGGACATTTCAGCATAGTAGGCAGTAGAAGTATGAAAATTGTTTCCAACTCTATCGTGAGAAATAATGAAAATCTTATCCCAGTGCTCTATTACTTGCTGTACTACTTCCTCACGCGCCTCTCGATCCATAACTTGAGTGTATATGCTCCATTTGCTCGAAACCTCACCGTCACCTGTAATTGGTATGGCAGTATACGGTACCATAGCACTGTTTATGTTTAAAGTTATTTTACGAAGGTTTACTATAAAATTTGCCATTCAATCAGCCATAAATTTCCATCAAATCAGCTATTTTGAAAAGGTCAAATAATAAATTTAAATAATTACTTGCCAACCGGTCTGTGTAGGGGGCAGGGAACTGTCCTTGCATCAGAATGATCCTGGGTTCGAGTCCCAGGCAAGGCATGGATGTTTCCTTCTCTCTGTGTGTGTTCTATGTCCTTTCTCCTTTATGTGCGAATGTGACCCGCCCTATAAACGTGCTGTTGTTGTGTGAATGGCGTGGCAGAAGTCGAATTCCCGGCCATAGA